GTGCAGGGACAGGCTGCCTCGGACGTCCTCCGCCACCTGACGCACCACGCTGGAGTTACTGGGCACGTAGCCCAGCTGCAGGTCTCGTGAGATGCGGCTGGGTAAAATGTTGACAGGAAAGCTCTCGTAGATGGTGGCATTTGGGTAATCCTGAAAAGGCACCTTCTGACGCAGCACGATGAGGATGGCAGAGAAAAGAAGCGGCAAGAGGATCTCCACCAGAGTTACCAGAATCTGACGTTTCTGGAGAGGAGAAAGTGGAGAATTTTTTTCGATAGCAGTCAGCCAAGTTGAGACATAGATTAAAACAGAAATACGTGGAAATAAATAAAGTGTCTTGCTAACATGTGCATATCTTTCAGGTTCAGCAGGAAATCTAACGCACTTTAAAATAATTTTGACTTTTTGAAAGTGCCATAAAAATCCAGAATGCAACTGAACATCAAAATTCTACAATTCCTTGGTTTGATGCATAAAAACTCCCCAAATAAAATACATTAAAGCATGTTTCAGTGACATTTGGAAAAATTAAAACAAGAAACACAAATACAAAAAAGCCAAATGTATTTTATGGCACTTTCAAAAAGTCAAAATTATTTTAAAGTGCGTTAGATTTGTTTATCAGATTATTACTTCTATTCAGGAAAAAAAAAAAGTGTTTGACCTCATTGACCAGTAGTTAAAGCATAAAGTGAGTTGAACAGTTTCAGGAGACTGGATGTTTATTTTCAAGGCCTAGTCTGTGTCACAACTGAAAATGACATCAGCATGAGATCAGTGAAAAAATTGGACTTTACTTTGAAAGATGGGAAGGGTGGATTTAAGCAACACAGCATGTTAGAAGTCTCTTCCAAAACCAATTATTTCTCTAAGGCCAAAAAATTACATAATGTTTTTGCAGCTTTGATATTGAGTCATTATCTTAGTATGTAAACACAACATGGAATTAAGATAGACAAAAAAAAAAATTCCCAAACATTGAGGCTCACATTCAGTAAAGGAGGGTAAAAACATCAGAGTCAAAACAGTTTCATTTCATCCTTTGGGGGATAAAATGAGGCAAATTCTAAGCACTTCTGTTTAAAGCTGAATTTAAAAAAAATAAAATAAAAATTAAAAAAAATAGGCCAAATTTTTTTCTAGTTTACATTTAATCTAATTTGCTTTCTGATGGAAATTCTTCAGGAATCACAATCTCACACAGACGTCTCCAGAGGGTTTAATATTTTGAAGCACGTATGATTCACAGCCAACAGGCCATTCCATTGCCCAATAATCTAACTTATTGTTGTCATTGTCTGATAATAATGTTCTGCAGCTACTATCAGTAACAGACAAACAGAGCTGTGCCAGTATTCTCTGTGGGTGGGAAAAATTAAACATTGTTGAATAGTAGAATGACTTCCTATCATCTGTACACTGTCAGCCTTCGAATCTTATGATATGGTGTTCTGGGAAAACATCTGACTTGTTTAGTCTCATGATTTATTTCCCAATACCTTTAAAATCTTAAATGAAGGAAGACGAGACGGCTCATGAAAGCTCTATAAGGAAGAAGAAAGCATGTGACATAACGCAGCTTTACTTTAAGGTGGCTGGAACATATCTGACATTGTTAATGCAAAATGTTAGTCATTTTATTTTATTTATGGTGTCCAAAAGCCCATCACTTAAATACTGTTATACAAGCTGCTCCACCGTGAGCTCAATCACCTGCTGACAATACGCAGTCGCAAACCCTGACGGGACCTAATAAGGACAGAGAAGGGTTGAATGTCCTACTCACCTGCTGAATATAATTTTTCCACACCAGCAGTCCAAATTGTCTAGCGATAGCCATAGCTGAACAGACACAAGGCACCAACCAGCCAGCTTTCTGTAGGGGTTGAAAAAAGAAGACATTAACATTTGCCAGGGGCTTTACCAGTTTTTTAAAGGGGCTAAACTATGCACATTTTTTTGAAAATGCCTGTAAGGGACTCTGATCTCTCAGTTTCCATTTCAAAATGAACGCAGAAAACAAAAAAAAAAGAGAAGTGAAATTGAGCAATCGACAGTATCATAATTACCAAATTAGTTTAGTCATCTTAAATAGTTACGAAAGTGTTTCTTTGTTGAATTGCTAAAAGAAAGCATAGGAAATCCCCGTCGTGTAGGGAAGCCAGCAAGCGCATGGAAAAAATTTTCCCTGGTCAGATAAAACCAATTATTTATTCTTGATCCTATATCAAAATCCTATGTGTGGCTTTCCCTACTGTGAAGCATGGTGGTGGTTGAATGATACTGTGGAGATCCTGGAATGAAACATGCAATAGGCTGCAAAACACCTGAGATTGGTGTGGAGGTTCATTTTCTTTCTACTTTACGTGCTACTTTATGCTGGTCATCCATACAGTTAAAAATTAAAAAAAAATATTTACACCGATGGAAGCTTTAGATTTTAAATTATCTTTAGTGTTGATAATTATTTAGACATTTATCATAAGCTGTGAAAAAAATGTGGAAAAAAAAGTTGTGATTGCAATGTGAAAAATAACTATGACTAAAAAATGTTATTATTTCCCACAATTTCGAATTTTTAAAGTCAGTTTTTACCACATATGTCAATACATTTCTAACGATAAAAAATGACCTATGCAAATGTAACTATAGGGATCTATTTGTCAGGTATGGTAAAAAGAAAAAGAAGAAGAAAAAAGAAGTGCTTCGTAAAAAATAACATCATTTTTTCACAAATGGACCACTGTTAAACGCATTTTTGCCTTATTTGAGCCTATGCATAATCACGTAATTAAGTCTGAACGTGTAATAACGCTAACAATGGCAGCATTTGTCTGACTTTCGCACGATTCTATTATTATGATACTTCTGGGTTTATGTTACGTATTCGTTGCCTAATTCAGTTTAAAAGGTCATGTGCTATGTGTCGAAAAGACAACGATTTCTTTGTTTATCTGTTTTAGTAAACAATAATGCCTTAAAAGACGTGGACCCTTTCCTGAAAAACAGAAACTGTCTTTCTCTTCTCTGATTGGCTAGAGGCCGAATTCTCGCTCCTCTGATTGGACAATACAGCTGCTCGTCAATTCCTAAGGGATCTCATGAATGCAAACGATGGAGCTAGGTAGAAACGTTGGACAAAAATGAAATATTGATGTCTTACATTTAACTGCAGGCCCGTAGATGGAATTGACGTTTTAAAGTTTTATGACGTAAATATGAAGAGTTACCTTAAGATCAAACAGTTTCGGAACATAAACGTTGGTCTTTCGCTCTTTATCTCTCTCTCCTCCAGTCGAGGTGAAAACAATTTCCTCCTTATTTTTTCACTCCGGTCCGTAAAACATCACAGCGAGCCTCACTGTCGATGTGCGGCTGCATCTGGAGGGGCTAAGCGCGTTGGCGGCGAAGCTCGGCCGGCTGCTTCCCTTCCAGTTTGCTGCCTGCCAGAGAGGCCGATGACATTGCACCAGCGGCTGGATAAAGTCTGTAAATTCATCCACAAAAAAAAGCCAGCGACCGACAAACGTCAACAAAACACTGAACACGTGACCACCCTTGGAGCGTCACGTGATTTCATCAGCAGCTGGGATTTTGTTTTTTTTAAATATTTCAGTCCTGCATTAAATCATTGTAAAAACTAAAAATGTATTTTAAAAATACAAGATAGGCCACTACAGTAATAATATATGTTATACTCATTTCCGTCATCACTAACAATGACACTTTTATTTTCAAGCATTACATCCTGTATTTTTCTTTTGGCAAATTGTAAAATTGTTGTAACACTTGGTGACAAAAATGTGTCCCAAGCAAACAGGAAGATTCAGACTAATGAAAATGAATTTTTAAAATATTTTTCCCCTGCATTGTAGCAAGTAAGCAAGATTAGATAATGCGATTAGCTTAAAAAATACATTCATTGAAATATTATGCCCTATAGAAGCCAAATGGTTTTGATCATGTACCAATGTAGTACAAGCAAGGGAATAGATTCAGCAAAAAGTATACGTATATATATAAAAAAGTGAAAATAAAAAATAGGACACTGCATCAGAGGTAGCGGCATTAATTTAAAACAATTATCCAATTATCAAATGGCCAGATCCAGCTGATTTCCATAATGCATCTTAATTGTTGCCCTCCAATTATGCAATCTGCATGTCATATCCCTTACCAGCATAATTGCTGTTTGGTGCTCTCACATGGACAGAATAAATGATGCAATGACAGTACATTATCTCTTTGGTACCATTTATGTTTTTCCTAAAATTAGCCACAAAAAAAATCCTGCAGGTCGTTCAGTGTTTTAGGGATCCTGCTAATTTTCCATGCTAAAAATTTCACACATTTACAGATTTAAATGACAGAATTCTCAGTCCTTTCCGGGAAAGTTTTTTTGTGTAAATACAATCAAATTTGATTCTATTCCAAAGTGTCACACACTATGCCATTCTGAACACACACCACCTGACGGGGAACCATAGCAGTGGCAGCATCATGCTGTGGAGATGCTATTTCCAATTATTAAAGCTTTTTTTTAGCAACATGCTAAATATACAGCAATATACAGAATGTGGCATTGTATATCTGCCTGGGTAAGAGTTATAAGAATGTTTTCATGTGATTTTTATTTTTTTTTTTACACATTTGAAGTAATAAAAGTGATGCCCAAAAAAGCAAAGTTTAATGACTTTTTTTTTATTCAAACATGGTACAAAAATTACATGTGGACATCAAAGAAAACACCGAACTGTAGAAAAACAATAAGAAAATCTTTTTGGGAATAAGTCAAATATAATTTCAAGTAGTAGTGGCATGGTCTTTGTCTTCCTCCCATTTATACATAACAATATGTACACTGTTAAAAAAAGAATACAACCAGTCTGGAGTAACAGTTTAAAATGTATGTACAGTCAGTCACAGTCATTTAGACGGCACGTCTTCTGTATCCTGAATGAGGCACAAAAACCCTGTAAGGTTTCTCTTCTAGTGTGTCGTGTTAAATAAAGAAACACATTCATTAAAAAATATTCAATACTGAATGTTGAGAGAAACATTAGGAAGAATGGTACATTCCTATGCACACATGTGATGATAAAAGTGCTAAACTTGATTCAGTGTGGAGGAAACTTCACATTTCCTCAAAGCTCTTCTCAAAACGTAAAAATCCAGCAAGTATCTTGATTTTTATTTTTTATTGCTTCAGCATCACAGCATGTTAGTGAATAAGATAACATCTGTATGAGGCTCTTGATGGGATTAGTGTGCCACAGGTAAACAAAATGATTCATCAACAGCACAGCTTGCGCAAAACTGAACTGAAGCCATTTAAGGCTGTAAGTGACTGATTTCACAGCTCTATTTTTGAAAACTAATTACAACACAGTACCTTTGGAAAAGCTGCAGGACGACAAAACTCAGGAAAAAAAAAAGTCATTAGAAAAGTACTTTTTAGGCTTCGGTTGCAGATATTTTCAATAACAGTAGTCACCTTCAGTTATAACTCAAATACAGTACAGGCAGTGCATAACAGAGGTGATGGCAACCAAAAACAACCACAAACATGACAATTATGTTTGTTTCTTTTGAATAACAAAGAACACTTTTTACCCCCGAAAATCATACATCATTGAGGTTTTTGTTTCTTTTCAAATGGTGTTTGAGATAGGTTGTTGCACAAAGAAATGGCAGCCAGTATGTCGGGCTCCTGAGGAAAGTCGAGCCGATATTCCAGTGGTTTTAGAGCTGATTATGGTTTCCTGGGAGGCATTTCTACTTCTCCGCTTCTGTAAACATCTAATTGAAATGTGATCAAAAAGGAAAGCCGAGCGGTTCCTTTTTCCTCGCCTAGTCTTAAAATGCTTCTCGTCTTTGATCTTCTAGCAGTTGAATGACCAGCTCAGACTCGCAGGACAGTTGAACATTGATGACGATTTAAAAGTGCTGCAGGTGCTGAGCGAGTGGTCTGTGAACAGCATGTGGTCGTGGAGACTCACAGGCTCAGGAAGCCTGTGCCTGCTGAAAAATCCTCCTCCAAATCCTCGTCTTCCCTTTCCACCTCGCCTACGCTATGCGCCGCTACGTTCTTCCTCTTCACCTGTCTGGTGGAGGTCCCCCGGGGCCTCTGCATGGGCACCAAGAGGCGGAAACCTGGCTGGGCGTTGGCAGATGGCATGCCAAGTGATGCGGTAAAGGTCCTGAACGTGCGGGTCACGAGGGAGGACGAGGAGCACGTAGATGATGGGCTAACGCTCTGGACGGATGAGTATCCTGAGCTGTGGAGGTCTGCGGATGAGGCAGACGGTTCTCGGCCTGGGCAGTCCTTGCTCCCGTCACTCCCCGCTTCACAGAAGCTGTCATCGTCGCTGGACAGAGCTCGGCAGTGCTCCAGATTATTGTCCCCATCAGCCAGAGGGTGTAGTTTGATATACATCATGGAAACTGTTGAAAGTAGTAAGAAATTGGTTCAACATACCAGAGAGATATGATCAAAACAATCCGCACAAGCTGTGGCAAGCCATGGTTCCAACAAATCTTCATTACATACTTCTCCAGACTCCAGATTTTTATCGCATTGAGAACATATGAGATGAAAACATCAGCCCACTTGTATTTAATTATCCGTTATTAAATTATTCTAAATCACTGGTGATGAAAGCGAGCATAAGATGTTCCCTTTGCATGAATCCAAACATTGTTGATTCAAAAATGTTCCACAGTAGAGGAACTGTTTGTACCTAAACGGTCAGGTAAAACCAAACATATGGGTATGACAAAACAATGGAATATCATGAAATAATTCTATAATTTAAAAAAAAAGTAAAACTCGTATTGACTTATTAAGACAGAAATATTTCAAGCTTATTTGTTTGAATTTGGGATTTGCATCATCTATAGGCCATTATCATCAAAGTAAAAACAGAACAAGGCTTAAAATGTTTTACTTGTGTAATAATTAAAGATAACATACAATTTTAATCTCCACAAATCAAGACATTACGCTGGCTTCAGCTGTGGCTTTGAGGCTTGTTTGGCATATGAACTGAACTCAGCTCAGAACGTTTGATTATAAACTTCATAAGTAAAATAATGTTGAGGACAAAACAGAAAAGCACTTTCAAAGTGTTTACCAGTCTGAACTTAAATATCAAAATAATCAATAACTTGTGTTGCAACAACCAAAAACAAAAAGGTTATTTATTACTTTCCAAATGATGGCAGCTGAAAAAATAATGACAACATTTTTGTTTTCCAGACTGATCTAGATTTGGAGAATGATGAAAGCAAACTTCTTCAAACAATGTGTAAATCATTACTCAATTTAGCTTTCATTAACACAAAAAGTGCATGAAGATAAGACAAACCAGAGTCATTTCAAGTGGAATAATGTCCCACTAAAAGAAGGGATGATGCATTATTCTGCTCCTCTGCATATAAAGTGCTTCATTTACATGCATTACACAGAGGCCTTGCAGTGAGATCATCTCCATTTTATACTCACCATCCCCATCTTTCTCCGCCTCGCTGTCTTCCTCACGGTCCCCCTCATAACCAGAGCAGGAAGAGTCCAGGCTCCAGTCGAGGATGTCTCCCAGCAGCATCTCTTCCTGATTGGACAGCTCTGCTGTGGGCGTGACTACCAGGCCGCTTCGGTGGGCCTGTGCGCCATCATCCCGTCTCCTGTGGACAGGGACAGTGGATGAGTGGAGGGGTTACAGTGAGTCACTGGAGCTTCATGCAGATGGCACTAAGAAAAACACCGTCTGGACGGTTCACCAAGGCTGTTTGTCACGGCACGGGGCCGACGAGAACTGCTAATTGAGCAAGAAAAGTGGCGCAGGAACAGTGGTCATTTTTCTACTGGCTCATGACAGAAGCTGTAGTTTCTCACTGCACAAATAACAGATTCTTCAATGGTCATATACTGTAGCTTTTTAAACATTACTGTAATAATGCAGAAACAACACATTCTTGAATAACTCTATGCATTTATTTAACGTAGCACAGCAAGTACAACTAACGTCATCTCTCTTACTCTTCCTACCGTTTCTCATTCATCCTTGTCAGCGGCTCCACCTAGTGGCGTGGAGTAGTATTACACAACAATTGCATATGATTTTCCACCTGAAACTTAATTGAGTTTTAAAATTACACATCGTCAAAAGACTTCTAGTAGCTTTGTGAACTGTATGTTCCAGGAAAAAAACATACAGTTCTTCTGCTCACTCAGAATGGTGAAGAGATGTTGTAATGTTTTTTTTTTCTATTAATACCTATATTTTTCTGTCTGTACTGAAATAACGTTTGTTGAATAGAAACCCCTCCGTCACATAAACCTTTGCAGATCTTAAGACTGTAGGAACAGTACATTTTGTCCTCATTGGCAAGCTCAAAGCTGAAATTTGCCAGATTGGACTCTGCCTTACCTTTTGCTAGTGTTCGATGGAGAAGCCAGTAAGGTGTGGATGTCAGCTGGTTGACCACTAGTTGGACTAGGTGGCTCCATCTGAGGCACAACTTCAGGGATCTCCAAGATCTGGCAGAGCTCTTTAAAATCCATAACCTTGTGGAAGAGAATAATTCAGAAATCAATAACCATTCAGGTTTAGAAAACTAAGAGAAAAAAAATTAATTGGGTACCTTCTCCTTGCTGATCTGCTGATAGGCCTCATCTTCAAAGCGCTGCTTGACTCCAGTTAGAGACACGTGCCTGTAGTCTTTGGGCACATCTTGACTGAAACTGAGGACAGATGGGAGCGAGGGAATAAACAGAAAGAGAAAAAATAAAAAATAACTAAGCTGAAAGCACTTCGCTTGCTTCAACAGTATAATCAGCTCTTCAGGACAAATCTCATTAGTTGTCCATTTGAGGATTGGGCCATTGATAGGCTGCACACCTATCAAAGTGACTCAGACTGAGGCACGTTTCTCAACCAGCGATGCCTCCCACCATTTTTATGACACTGTAGCTCTGTGCTTCATATTTGCTTTAATGCCAAAATGGGCATCCGCTTCTCTTCTACACGGATAAGTTTGACATCCTATTTCTCTAATCAACGTGGGCAAGCTGAGAACAGCCAGACCCACGACTAATCAATTCCTGTTAACTTTCTTCATGGAGAAGGAGCACAGTTAGGTGATGGTCATGTGTGAGTCATGGGACAGCAATGAAACAGAAAGTGGGCCGCAGTGTTTTTAAGAGCTGTTTCCACTTCAGAACGTGGGTTTCTTTCACACTGTTTTGCAATCAGTAAAGATGCTTTAAAAAAAAAAAAAAGCTTTTTTTTTTCTCTTTTTTTACAGAACAGAAAACACTGATAAGACTTCCTAATTTGAAACAGAAAAGCAACAATTAGTCCTGTTGTTAAAATAAATATTAACTTTGCTGTGATATCAGCAGAAATTGTAATAAAGTTCCTGAACATCTCCATGGCGATTACATTTACAATAATTCCATGTTTTTCCTTTTTGTTTTCTTTGCGATGTCCCCACCACTTTGTGAGCTATAGCATCTCAGGCTATCTGTTTTGAGTAGTCAATAGGGCTGTAGCGATACACTAATCTCACAATATGTTAAGTGATATTCTACTCACGATACGATATCACAATAATCACCAAACAATACGATTTGATGCGATTCAAATCAATACATTAAGATTTTTTGAAAATTCAATATTTTGAGGGGAAAAAAATATTGATAACTATAGAACTGATAAAATTACACAGCCGTAGAAGTTAAGACAGTGTGACAACAAGTAGATTGCAAGATGCACTTTTACTATTGTGCTTCAATAGTACTACAAAACTGCTGTGGTAGTTGGATCCACAAATCAGAAAATTCAACCCGTATTCAAGGAAGACATTTACAAAAAAAAAAAAAAAAAAAAAA